AGTGTGCAGAGCAAGCTATGGGGAACCATGCAGGACCTGCGAGTTCATAGAGGCAACCCACCTGATGACCTGATCTGAGCATATGAAACCGAATGCAAAGAAGAAGAAAAAGAAGATTCACCACGGCAAGAAATCACAAATTCCGTGGCTTATCACGGCACATGAAATTTAAAAAAAAAAAAAAAAAAAAAAATGCAATACCATAAGCCTAATTCGTAACCCAAGTAAATTGGATGCAATTTTTAATATTTTTTATTTAGTTATCACAATCAAATATGTATATCAAATCGTTAACATCCGACATTTTACTCCCCAGATTTGGTTACACGTGTAAAATTGTTCTCAACAGACTATCAGATAATATTTTTAAAATTATCTATCTATTACTGAATATAACAACACAGTAAGTTCGTAGATTTTTGTTGTTGGTTAAAACCCTCTGCGCAGCGACCGGGTGGCGAACTCCTCGTATTCCGGGTTCATCCCCGGGGGTAGGGGAAAAAAAAAAGCCACATTTCTCTCAGATTTACGGTATTTATGATGGAATCAAGGCCGAGTTGTTGCGATATCGATAGTACCGAGCCAAATGGTTTACAACTCATGGTTTCTGGATACTTTAAAAAAAAAAAAAAATACATTATAATAAATGAATGACTCCCCCCCCCTCCCCCCCCCACGTTCTTGGCATATCGAGTGTATAACGATAGATTCACACTTTATAGAGCAATCGGGCTATCAAAGAGTGATGTGGTCAACATCAGGACTTCACTAGGTCAACTTGGTTACCAAGGTCAAATTCTCGAGAAGGGGGAAAAAAATCTTACTCGATGCCTATTCGAACTAAAAAAAAAAAAATGGGGTCGATAGGTAAGTAACTAGCCACTACGCCACAACAGCGGGTTTCATCAGACAGGAAAAAATCTATTACAGAGACAAACAGAAAGGGTGAAGTAAAAATATTTTACAGGGACATAGAATAAGAGAGAAGAAGTAAAAAAAAAAATTTTGACAGTCTTTTGCCATGCCATGGAATTTAAATCTGTTGGAGATAGAAAAATATGGTGTAGCATGATCCTCCAAGCCAGTCAGTAAAGCACTTGGTGATAACGATTACTCAACTCTGTCCAATGTTCGAATGATGTAATGGAAGTTGTTTTTATCTGCCATTCGTGTAGTTCATATTATCTTTTGTCATTCTCGTATTTACTTATCGGGCCTCAAAATTACTATATTCACATGCCATCATGTACTCCGATAAGGGTGAGTGGTCATGGTTGGAACACATCCACCAGATTTACGGATCAAGTCAGTGCTCTTGGGACACAGCCATCCTGGTATTTATACTTTGTCTTTCCTTGTTTCTTTCACCCTTTCTTGCATCATTAAAAAAAAAAAAAAATTAGTACGGGGCATTTGTAAAAATGTTTTGTGCATAAACAGAAGTCAAGTGGTGTTATTAGTCGCCAGACGTTGGGGCATATACTGAAGATGGGATCCGAGGGACTTAGGGACGTGTCTGATGTGCAATGAGGTAGGCAGATGGTTGTATCCCACAAACGATAAACACCTGGTGACACAGAATGCCACAATGCGGACGAGGATCACACGTGGAGATGTCTCAGAAACCCCTTTCAGCCGAAACGCCATATCTATGCCCCGGCTACATTCAGGGCCCCCGGCAGAAACCAGAGTGGGGCTTCAATTAACAAAATAGTGCATCCCACATGGGGACGACTTTGAATAATTTTGCATTGTGCAATGAGGATAATCTTTCGATTCTTTTAGAAGTCAAGTTTTTACAAAAGTTGGTTTATTAAAAACCCTGTTTGGGATGAGAAACAAAATCAGAAACGTGGGGTTGATGTTGAATACTAGGCTGGAGTGGTACTACTAATCTATTCATAGTTATATCGTGAATGAATGTCTGATATTCTTTACCGTAATTCACTAACTGCATAAAGTGTACACACTGGTTCTTTCAGTTTGAGCTAGGTTAAGGTATCCCTTTACCTGTGGTTGGTAATTAAAGTAATCGTCTCCTTTTCTGTGTGTGGTTCGTCGTCGTTGTTTTATTATTATTTTATAACGACAATAACGTCCTTTACATTTTCGTAAAGGGAATTTAATGCGAGCCAAGTCTGTCAAAATTCATGGGCTTGAAAGAGTTAAAATTGGGCTTGTGATGTTGTGTTGATGTTTACAGCTTGGCTGTGATATCTGTCCCTTTCGGCCAAAACGTGCGATTTCAGCAAACTATCTCAATTAGTTGCCATTTACGACATGCTTTTTAGGGGGACAGTTTACTGTTTCTTTCACCCCAGAATGGAGCCCTGGAACCCTCATAGTATACACACGTTTAGTTATATAAATACTATGAAAAGTATATAAAATATGGGGGTCTCGTTGCAAAGTAGCCAAGCCATTTGCCTTGTGCTCTGAAGGTCATGGGTTTGTTTCAGGGCGGTGCCATTTAGTTCACGAGTGCAATTTTTTCAAAGTTTCCTGGGGATCATCGCCGGAGCTATTGAGTTCGCGCATTGTGTGATGCTCTCGGCAGGCGACTAGCCACTCTGCCATATGGGATAAAGCCCAGTGCAATGAAGTTGAAAAAAAAAAAATACAATGGAGAATGTAAATATATTTCTAATCCCTACAAAATTATATATATATATATATATATATATATATATATATATATATATATATATATATATATATATATATATATATATATATATATATATATATATATATATATTTTAAAAAGAGGAATGAATGTACATTTCGAATCTGAGGATATGTTTATGTTTATTGCTGTTATAGTTAGTGAAAAAAAAAAAAAAAAGAAATTTGCAGGTGTTTTGTTTAGAAAGACAGCATTCTACAAATAATTCTTCACTTACAATGGTAGTTATCCAAATTTGAGAATAAAACTTCAAAGTTTGTTTAGTTTCCTAACATAGTCAAAATCTTTAACTTTATCAACAAGAGGCTCTAGGTTCTTACAGTGCTGAACAAAATTTCAAAGAAATCACAAAGTATATACTTTATACAGTTAGGTTCAGACTGTAACTGCAGTGATTTCAATGCATCTTAGTCATAGTATGGTACTGTTTAAAACAGTCCTTTGGATGCAAATGTGAGTGATTATCACATCCTTCGCAAATGAAATGAGTCCTCCTGGGTTTAACTCATCAGAACCACTAGATTCTCTAAAAGTTGACCTCTTAGCTGCCGTTGGTATACATTTGCAGTCCGAATCACTTTGTGAAAAATTTAGGTTTTCATTGTCATAATCATAGTTAAAAACATCTGACTGTAACTATTTCAGAGCTTCACTAGCAGAAAGGCGCATTTTGCAGTCTTTACTTGTGTTCGGAACATTGGTGTCTGTGGTCAGTCTTAAGACAAAATCAGAAAATCCACTGTCTAAAAATGACACTAACAGTGAATTGGATAAATTTGTGCCTAATTGCACGAACAAAAACTTGTAAACAAAGTAGAAACGTTAGAGTAACCTTTCCTGAATATTTTAATGGTAGTTTCAGACATTAAAAACTAATTTGGAACAGCATGCGAATCAGTATGTGTGGGATATGCGATTGACGCAGACTGTGTGGTTTGGACAAATCGTAACTTCTCTGTCAACACACACTGCATTGCTCGGGTCTGAAAGAATTAGTGGCAAATGCAGAAAAAGAATTATGTGTATGCCCCTGTATCCCTTGGATTATTTCTATAACAATTGTGTAAGAAAAAATTATTTCATAAAATACAAAAAAATTATTATGAAGAACATTTGCTCAAGCTGTACCTAGAAAATGGAAATTAAAACTGTGTTCTTATCTTGTAAGCACAGCAATAATTATCCCACTTTAAATTCGTTTGAGTGATAGTAAACAGATGACAGACATACTGGAAAAAAAGCTTGTTGCACCCTTTACTGGATATTACAAAACCAACTCCAGTTTGTTTGTGTGTGTGGCTGTTGCAGTTTTTCTAGGTAAATTACGTTCTGTAGTTTACTGCAGCTTTCTGAACAGTCGATACTGTCAATACCACTGACAAAACCAATGCAAGGCGGTCTACTGCCAAATCACCTGCAGCTGGGATCAGACCTGGCATTCTAACATTACAAAAACTCACTACATTGTTATCAAATAGCCCAGTGACAAGCCTACATGTATCTTTAGAGTTGCTGTGTCAGTTAATGCTTCAGTTTCTTCTTATTTTCAGTGTGGGGGAAGGGGGGAGGGGAATGAGCTGAAGTTCTAGGCAGTATTCAACGCTAGGATAAAAAAGAGGCAGCCTTTTAATCAAGAAGTGGTTGGCCGAATGGTTAAACACTGGGCTCGCAAGCGGGAGACCCAGCTTCGAATCTTCAGTAAAAGGGGCAAAATAAAATCCTCACCTGCACAGTCATGGTAACAGCACTAGCCATGCAGCCGTAAATCCTCAGGCTCAAAGACCCCCACCTACAGCGCAAAAGTGGTATAAAAAAGGCAATCATTGGCAATTTTATAACCTTTTAATCAGGTTGCAGCTGGTGTGCTATTAGCATGGGAACTCTTTGTTGGCTAACCAGGAAGGAGAGAGAGCACATGTGAGAATGTACCAAGTGCAGTCATGTTAATTATTGATTGATTCATTCATTCCTTCCCATAGATTGCACATAAAGAGTATCTAAGTATAGCAATCAAACTCCATTGAAGTATCCAAATTTTGTTCCTTGCGTATTTATAGCTTGTATTACTATATTTACAGGTATAAAGGACATTCATTGTCATCATCCTACTGTGGTATTATACATCACACGGGGCTCACAGTTTATTCTTTCACTCTGTTTTATCCTTTACCATTGTTTTAGTATTATTGATGGAGTCCACTCCAGCACCTTTGGCCTCTCTCAACAACATCTGTCTTACTGTTTCTCTTTCACATCCTCATTTTCTCAGTCCATTTGTTTTCCATTTCAGATAAAGGATATTACACAATAAAAAATGTACATGAGACAAACATTTGAAAAGTTTTTCACTTGTCAAGCTCTGAACATTGTCAAGAATTTGTGGAAAACACCATCAAGACATTATGCCTCAAATACAGTTTTTTCATTGTCGTCTGGTGCTGGAAAATGTGGAGTAGCTGTAATACGTGTGTCAGGGCCTAAATCAAGATTTTCACTGGAACAGTTATGTGGAGGGGTTACAAAACCTCGTGTGGCTAGTCTTAAAAAATTAACGAACCCTTTTTCCAAAGAAATGTTGGATAAAGCTATAGTATTATGGTTTCCAGGTAATGTCACTGTATTCCTAACTCAGTTTTAAAATGTTAAATCTCAGCTATTCTTTGTTTAGTTTGAGGTCAGGATATTATTTTGATTCCAGTCTCTGGTTGGAAAATTTGATTTTGAATACAGTACGTTTAAAAAAAAAAATGAAATGAAAGAACTTTTTTAAACCAGCAGGCACATGATGTTGTACTCATATTTTCATAGATCAGTCAGCACTAGGTTGGTGAAGAGGTCACCATCCCACTAGGCACATTCAATTCATAGAACATTCTTGATACCCTCATTAGGCTGGGTCAGTTATAAAAATTCACCTGGATGTGGATTCAAGCCCAGAAACTTTGAGCAGACAGCCGTGTGCCTAGCCACTGCATTACTGCTGCTCCTGCACATGTATAAAGCTTTTTATGTGAGTAAATTTGGAGTGCAGAGTTTGCTTTTGGCACTGAAAATGTCATTGTTCATTTTAAAGATCATCTTCATTGCACATCGGACAATACCATAAGTACTATCTCCTCCTGAGTCTGTCTCCAAGTGTGTTTAGGCTAACAACTCTCATTCTGTTCTGGCTGATGTAATGACGGGTGGCTCCCACATAGTTTTCCTGTCTTGTAGCTCCAATGGGTACACCCAGGGTAGGCTGTCTATTCAGTGAAAAATCATTTTCCATGAAACTAAAAGCCTTTCAGTGTTGAGTCTGCCATATAGCATTGATGGCCAGGGTGTCTGCTCTCTCATTACCTTTCACACCAGCATACCATGGGACAAAAATAAAGGTGATTTTGTGAAACGCTGCATGCTGATCAGAGGAAGCCACTGTTTCTGTATACACCCCAACTTGATCTTCTATAGCATGCTCACTGAGTTGCTGAGCAAATCTTAATTTGTCATGTTGTTAATGGTGGAAGCAAAGACTCTTCGGTCTTCTTTGACAACTTCCCTTTAGTCGTTGCAGTGAAAGCCCAAGCACTTCACATCTGACGAATCATAGACCCATATGTATATATAATGGTATCTTCCAGTAATGTGTGTTCTGCATCAATTATTGATGGCGCCAAATCACGGCACTATCTTGTCCGGGTGATAACCACTAGAAAATATTGCTTGAATTCATTTGGTATGGGTATCAATTGCTCTCCACGGTTTATGTCTCGAAGGGAAATCACCTGTTAAAGTACTGTCTCTGCCCGGCCCAATCAAGACTGGCCTCATTTAAGTCAGCTGCTTTTACATGTATTTAGTTCATTGTGCAGTAGGTGTGTAAAGACCTCAGTGATTTTTTTGAAAATTTCCCCTCCTGCCAGTTTACTGATCCAGGCCAAAATTCTGCTGAGCTGGTCTTGTTCATTTTAAAAAGAAGTCTAAAGGTCTTCGGTCTAGCAGCTGTATGTACCATTATAGAAATATTACCTTAAATTACAATCCTAGCAAAGACATCAGTTATTAATGCAAGTGCTCAGTCGTAACCTTTAACCTTGATATTTTAGGCATAATAGATTGAGCTTTCAAGGAAACAGAATGTCTTTTTCTTCTTCTTCTGCCTTTCTAAACCTAATGGAGCATAGGCCCTGAACCAACTCACGCCAAGTCGTTCTATCCTTTGCTATTTCATGTCTTTTTATGTTGCCTTTACTAAGTTAATAATTTTCTGTGGGATTCTAAAGTGCCCCAGTAATTTTCATAGTCTATGAATCCATCGTAAAATGGTTAATTCAGTTAAATACTTTGTTTGATGATTAAGACAAAATGTCTCGAATCATTTTACATGGAAGGGGGAAATAAGGAAGGGCATAGGGATACAGGATAACATGACCACGTAAAGGTTAAAAGTTGAGCGTCAGATAAGAAACATGTGAAATAAATACTATGGCAACAATAGTCTGAGGTCCCACGTTCATGATTCACATGCCTTCCTATAGCACAGTATAAAACTATCATCTAGAACAGTGGTTCTCAACCTGACTAATGCCGCAACCTTTTAACAGAGTTCCTCATGCTGTGGTGACCCCCCAACCATACAGTTATTTTCATTGCTACTTCATAACTTCAGTGAATATGTCTTTTCCAATGGTCTTAGGTGACCCCTGTGAAAGGGTCATTTCACACCCAAAGGGGCCATAACCCACAGGTTGAGAACCACTGATCTAGAAGGACAGAAAGGTGAACAAATGAAAAATAATAGATTGAGCGAAGGATGCAGTTACTTCAGTTTACATATCAGAAGAAATATTCTGTTCATCGTTGTTTCAGGGCCACATAGCTTTACAGGAGAAGACTGTGCAGAGTTTCATGTTCATGGTGGTCCTGCTGTGGTTTCATCAGTTCTGTCCGCACTCAGTTCTATTGATGGTTTCAGGCCAGCACAAGCAGGAGAATTTACTAAACAGTTTGTATCTTTTCTTTTGGGTTTGTTCATATAAAGATCACATTTATCGCACATCAGATGGGAAGATAAGTAAAAATACTGTCTTCTCTGATGGCAGTGAAAACATATGATATAAAAGTTTACCTGCAAACACTTGGTGTCAACAATTGGAAAGAGAAGGCCAACCAGAGAGATGAAAGGAGGCAGGTGATATCTGCAGCAATGAACTCAAGAGCTTGGAATACTGAAGAAGAAGAAGAAAAAGAAAAAAAAAAGTTTACCAGCGATAATTCTAACAAATTTAGTCACATTATAGCAAAGTTAACAGCAGGAATCCTGCTATTAGGTTTACTATAAGCTTAATGTGACTAAATTTGTAAGAAGTACTATTGGTAAACTTTTATATCATATATTTTCACTGCCATCAGAGAAGACATTGTATAAAGGAACATTCTTTGATGCAGTCTCTATGATAAAGGTTTGGTACAGTACATCAACTGCTGTATTTGTGAATATTATATGATGAGGGCTCAATCGTTTCCATAGTGCTGCTGTTTAACTACTGTCTGGAAACTACCAAATCTATTTTCACTCCCCAGAAGTCACAGGATTGTTTCAGACCTGTATTTTTGGGGTTAACCCAGCCTCATAAAAATGGGTACATGTACAAGATAATTTCCAGAATTGCCTGGCAATTGTCTGAGAAGGAAAGTCTCTTGGGAATAGTACTGGCCATACAACCTGTCATGAGGTCATGACTAATACTCCACACCGTAACAGCAGTATCTGCCATAAAATTATTTTGTAGCTTTACATATTTAAATATATGTGTGTATATAAATTTATTTATTTATTTAAGGGCATTTCTAAACGGCAAACTAGATCTGACAGAGGTGGAAGGACTTGGAGATTTAATCCACGCTGAAACGGAAGCACAGAGAAAACAAGCTCTCAGGCAGATGGAAGGTGACCTTGGTAGAATATATACAAGTTGGAGACAACGATTGATAAAGGTGTTGTAGTGTTTTATGTGTTAAATGAAATGTCTAAAGTTTGGGCATTTTGAAGTGTTTTTCGCGATTGTAAATGTGAAACAATTGCACAAAGTTGACTAAATCACCCATTGAATGCCACTTGATCTTTGAAAATGTGCATCTAGTATCATATACTGCAAAATGACAGTTTTACACATCATAAATCTTCTCCTCCACCTCTTCCTTCTCCTCCTTCTATTTCTTCTTCTTTTTCTTTGTCTTTGTCTCATCTTTATCTTCTTCTTATTCTTCTTTGCCACCTTCTTCTTTCCAAGCCCTCGAGGTTCATTGCTGCAGATATCACCTGTCTCCATTCATCTCTCTGATTAGTCTTCCTTTGTCCAGTTCTTGACTCCATTTAGCAAGGACTATTTTTGGAAACAAGCAGGTGAACAGTGCTGAAGTGAAGAGAATGGTGTGGCAGGGAGTGACCACGGGATCTGGCCGATACTTAGAGGAAAGGCGAGGTAGACATACAATCAGACTGCTACTGCTACCATTTGAATTGGAGCTCTGCATTGGCTGCTGATGATGGGGACAGACAGCATATGGGAATATCCTGATTACACTGATGTTGGTTCTTAACTGAACTCAACTCTAGGATGAACTTGTGTAGTCATTAGAAATGAAAAGAACTAGAGTTAATGTTAAAGTCAAGACGATCGACTTCATTGCACCAGGTTTATCCTAAATGGCTTGGTCTCTATTCACAAACGGCTAACTGCCTGCTGGGAGCGTCGCACAAAACACAAACTCTGTAGTTCCAGCACTGACCTCCAGATGTATGTTCACTCGTGAACCGAATAATGCTGCCGTGAAATGAACCCAGAACCTTCAATCTGTGACTGTGTTCTTGAAAGATGATCCTTTTGCACTTTTTATCTTTGCATTTTCACAACTTTATCCATTTATTGCCCTGACGCCGTGAAACATTCCAGGAGTAGAGAAAAAATGAATGAATGAACAAACTTTATTTTTAAAGAGTTAAGAATTGGGCACGCAGGCCCATCTAACATTCTGTTCTTTGAGGTCTCCCTCCGTTTGTCCATCATTTCATTCAAGTAATATTAAACATTATCAATAGCATTAGAATGTTCAATACAGTGAAGAAAAAGAAGATACATTTTTCATAACAAACTTTCATCATTGCAGATAATGATGTTATGTTTAAAATTACAGTGCCTGGCAAACGCAGAAGCTTTTATTGATTTTCACGAAGAAGAGAATATTGAAGATGATGTTTTGGAATCTGGTGAGTATCATTTGGATGTTCCGTAAACTCTTAGCTATATTTTATCTCTTGTGTATACTGTGTGTCTTCTATATTAAAATCAAAGGAATGGTAACTTAAATTTTGTCTGTACCAGCCGGGAACTGTGCTAATGTAGCAGCTAGCCACTTGCCTGCCAGGCCAAAGGTCTAGTTTCACATCTGCATCCAACATATTTTTTTTTTTTTAAATTGACTTTGGCTCGCAAGTTGACCAAGTCTGAATTGGGTATTAGTTATAATCTTGAGGACTGAATATAGTAAAGCCAACAGACACTATAAATAGAGAAACAGACATTTGGAAAACATGATGACCTCATCACAGGCAAGGGGAAAAAATTTCAAGTGGCTTAGTCACCATCCTTCCACCTTTGAGTGTTAAGCTAATATATTTATGTCTGTTTTTTGTTGTTGCTTTTTTTTAATTGGGGGAGGGGGGGGGGGGGGGATTGAACATAATTCCATTTTTATTTTTCTTACCTATTTTCATCCACTCTTTTATACCTTATCCAATGTTCAGTGTTTTCTTCTTTCATTTTCACTTATAAAAGGGCAGAAGGCATGTTGTGTTGTAATTGACAACTGGGCTTTGATGCCTGCAGCTTTTGACTCAATTCATCTGAACACATCTGTTGTTAGCAAATCCTTAATTATTAACCTTTACGGCATGCTTGCTAAGAAGCAATGGGTACCGGTGTATGGCTCCACCAACATTGTTCATGCCCTTACAGAGAAAGGATGATTTTCTATTTGATTTTAACTTATATCTTTGATGACCTCAGCTTTTAATGTACCCACATTCCTATAACCCACAAATGAGACTGTCAGATAGAGAAAGAGAAGAGAATTGCTTTTTTATTTTAAAAAGTTAATTCTAAAGATAAGAATGTGTGTGTAATTGTATATCATCATGTTGTAACAGGTTCTTTACAGAATGTCACTTCCATCACCGCCTGCCTAAAAGAAACTCGGTCCCTGTTCAGCTCTTCTGCCTCATGCACTTTTCTGCCCAAGGTGTATCTTATGTCCTGTATCCATCTTCAAGCTGGTCAGTCCCTGTCCTTTTCACCCAGTACCATGCTCTTATGCCCTGTTTTTTCCAATCCATGGTTTGATATGGCCAAAGTATTTCAGTTTCTGAAACAGGATACTGTTTACAAGCCAATTTTCCTTGGTGTTTAGATCCATGGCATTCTGAGAATCTTTCTACAGTATTTGTGCTCAAAAAGCTCCTATTTACATCCTTAGTGATTAAGAGATAGTCCATTACTCACATCCATTATGTTGCTACAGGAGAGATGATTCTTTCAAAATGTTGATTTTGATTTCCTTGCAGGTACTTAGCCATAGACTTTAAATATATGTATATATGTATATGTATATATATATATATACTAGCTGTACCCGGCCACGCGTTGCTGTGGCATAAATGGAAATGAAAGAAAATAGAAATCGCACGTGTCTAATACAATCATTGTCTGCTCAGATATAAAGATAGTCTTTGATTCCCACCCCACCAACCCCCAAACCCCTACTAAATCCACCTACTACCCTCCCCCTTATCAAATTTATGTCATTACCCCCCCCCTCCCTCCCCTCCCCTCTTCCACCGACTACTGCTTTCTCCCTCTTTGAAATATTTGAAAATCATTACCTGGCGATATTTTGTTGTTGCTGTAACTAACATTGACATCCCTGTCCATCTGGACTAAAATGGAGAGCAGGAATTGTAATAGGTAGTGAATGGGGCTAGTGTAATATTTACCACATCATCATTCAAGTACCAGTACAACTACTAAAATAATGTCACTGCTATCTGTGTTACCATCGGAGTAGACAGAGAGTCGTGAGCCAGAAGATTTGGTTCCGCATGGCTGGTGCTGTCGCCACAGACTGGTCAGGTTAGGATGTATAATTTCACTTGCCGACAGAAGAACGCCATAACCTTACCGGCGGTCTTCACATGAGAGCACTATGGTGTAACAGCCCAACCACAACTATTACTACTGCTGCTACTTTAAGTGGGTAAAGCAGTTACTGTGACTTAAAGCTCTCTCAGTAAATAGTTTGCCCCCCCCCCCCCCCCCCCAAATTCACTACTACAACTCTTTCCCTCATTGAAGTAGTTGGGAGAAAAAAAAAAAAACACTTGAAAAGCAAATGAACACAGCAAAAAAAAAAAAAAAAAAAACATAATTAGGAAATGAACGCCATGGTAAACAGCACAGCTTAAAATTCCAACGCAGATGAAATAACTAAATCTAAATGAAAATAAATGAAAATCTATAAAAATTTCAGCGTAACCATGCAATCGGAAAGTTTAATAATGCAATCATAAGTATGCGAAATGGTCAAATTTAATTATCAAATGGTTTACCCATTTACTTGTCTTTTTTTTTTTTTAAGGCAACATGGCTAGTGCTGTCACCATGACAGAGCAGATGAGGATATTATTTTAATCCGGGGTAAAAAAAAAAATTAACTACTGCGGATTCGAACCCAGGTCTCCCGCACAGGAACCCAGTGTTCTAACCATTCGACCAAGCAGCCACTTAATCGGATAAAGGAAAAGAGAACTTAACTATTAGAGATGTGTGTCCCTACTTCTGTGTCCTGATTAAAACACAATTCAAAACCGCATGCAATTGTTTTCTCGTAGACAGATACTCCAGATATATTAATGAAACGGCACAACAATAGAAATCGCACGTGTCTAACACGGTTAATGAAGTAAATGTCGCAGTCAATGTCTGCGCCTACGTAGAGATAGTCTTTGATTCCCCCCCCCCCCCCCCCCCCCCATCGAAGGTTGTTTGAAAAAAAAAAGAAAATAGAAATCGTGTTTAATATGGTTATTGTGGCAAATATAGAGATAGTCTTGTTTGCTGTACCTAGACCTACTCTATGTATTAGAGAAGGCGTTGGCTGCACGTAACTCGCCGGCGAATGGCGGAAGCCTTGCGTTCTGACTACGGCGGCGCATGCGCAATTACTAACGTGGCTATAATTAGAAATCACTAAAGTTATAAATATTAGTTGCGTATATTATTGCATAAATTGTGGTCACCTATCTCTAACAGTGACAGGTTGAATTTCAAACCACGACAGTTCAAAATCCGGTATCACAACAAACATATCCTGAAAATTTCAGCTAAATCGGTTCAGTAGTTTCCGAATCTATAGGGGTGAAACAAACACACAAACATTGATATATATATATATAAATATATATATATATATATATATATATATATATATATATATATATATATATATATATATATATATATATATATATATATATATATATATATATATATATATATATATATATATATATATATATATATATATATATATATATATATAATTTATTTCAGTAAAATTAGACGTCATGAAAATTCAGAAAGAGATAATCGATCATTTAAAGGACAGCAGACGTGGTGAAAGGCTTCGAGACGGTCTGCGTGTGGTCATATTAGGAGAACCCAATGTTGGAAAGAGCAGTCTTCTGAATGCTATATGTGAGTATCACAATTCTGTATATTTAATTATACATACCTCAATCAATTCCAGACTATTCCTAAACTCAATCAATTCCAGACAACTATTCCTACACTGCATAATGGCTACAACTAAACCCTTACTTTCTCAACTCATTCTAACCTGAAAAAATCTCCATCTTTTTATTTTCTGGTTCTTTTTCTTCAGTTCATCTGACACCATTTTTGGGTTTTGAAGGAGAAGCAGTTTGATCTGTATGCTTTTTTTGCAGCAGTTTTTAAACTCCTGCCGCTTGTTAGGCCTGTTGTAGCTTCACCAGAACCTCATTAGCTATGAAGGTTTTGGGTGGCCCAGGATGACCTTCCTGGCTACCGAACTTCAACCAATCCAAGCAGTCCGTTACATTATCCCATTTACCACTTTTAATGACGAGGGAGTGAGGTTGGGCTTTAAAAGAGAACTGTTAATTGGTTACTACATATTTCACATAATTTGGAAACAAGTTGTAATTGATGACATAAATAATAGATGATCATTATTTTCTCCTCTTCTTCTTCTGTGTACTCTCCTCTACTCTTTCAGCAACCTGTTCTGGAACAGACATCCGTAATTGTGACTTTTCTCTTTTTTCTGATATTTTGATAGAATTGGTGTCCTTATGTTCAAGCTTGGAGCTTGCCACATGCATATTTTTTGTGTCTGCCTTTACCACTCTTGATTAATCTTCCTAAACATTACCTTTATTTTTCTGCATCATTTACTCTCAGAAACATTAGAATTTAATATGTCAGTTTTATCAAATATGGCCCAGTCTCTCACAAGAGCATAGTACAAAATGAAACCACCCAGCCATCAGAACATGAGCAAAATAACTAAATCATTTTGCCATGGAGACCCCTATACAGTATTTAAATAACAAAGTGTACCGTTGCTTGTGGGAAGAAGTATGGACAGTGCAGATATCGTCAACACTGAATGGACTAGGCTAGCAGATAATGACAGATCTCTGATGGTAACACGATTGCATGACATGGGAAGGAAGCACTCTGTGCTGTATTCAAACTGAGATAGTAGACATTGTATCCAGTTCTTCATGGGAACAATCAGTAGAGGTACCTTTAAGCAGCTGCTGCCTTGAAGAACTGAGCACATATGGGAATGCCCAACGTGCAGTGAGGTTGATTGTGATAGCATAACATAAAAAAGTGGTTACATAAGTAAATAAAGTAAAGAAAAGGACCCTTTATTTGCACTTGACACATTGGGCATATAATGCCAGACCACATGCACATCTGGCTGATGTGGTTAACTAACAAAGGCCACCATACTTCCCAGGATTTTACCTAGTACCTTCTTCTTCACATTCACCGGCTGTAAACTCCAGTGAAAAGTTCTGGTTGTTCATCCACTTTCAGACTTTTAGTCTTATTCAAGAACCTGTGTGTTGCATGCACATCTGTTTTAAAGATCTGGCTTATTTGTATGCAGGCTGTCAGTTCCTTGCGTTTTGGGCAGATGCACTCTGGCTTTGAAAGAAACTCCCAATTAGGTGATTGCTATAACATGCTTGTTGGGGAGGCAGTGGGTCTGTTTTTATTAATTGCTCTTCCCACAATGGGGCCCGGAACCCACATGAGGTAACCTGGTACCAGTTTTAGCATTGGTTGACCTGGGGTCCAAGGTCTAATTTGAACCCAAGATCTTTGAGCTGGCAGGTGAGCGTCTAGCCATTACTGGTGGCCCGTGGGCTGAATCTGGCCTGTAGAAGCCCAGCTAGTGGATGTGGATCATTGCCTGTTGTACTATATTAATTACCTTTCTGCCTGGCCCACTAGCTAACTTGTTTAAACCAGCTGCACGTTGAGCGTTGGCAAACTCCTTGTGGTCCGAGTTCACGCTTGGACAGGGTGGGGAAAAAACCCGCATATTTCCCAGATTTACGGTATCTGTCATGGAATCAAGGCCAATGGGTTGCGATATTCAAAGTAACGAACCAAAGGTTTTCAACTTATGCTTTCTGAATCCCCCCCCCCCCCCCTCTAGCCTAAGATGATCCCTATTTTCAACATTTTTGGTTGAATAGCCATGCATCACATACAACAGGATAATGCATGTAGCAGAAGTGTTATTCCTGAAAATGTAAGGTTAAACGTAAGAATATAAATTAAATCGTTTTCTGTGTTTTGAATTTAAATCAAACCCTGTGGTCTCGGATACCATCACCTGTAAGTGCATTTGCTGATTCATGCAAATTTATATTGGAGGTTAGAAAACTTTAATCATCAATATATATGAAGAAACATGTCTACCAGGACATAATTACCTATATCTGTAAGTGACAGGGGGTCGCTATGGTGTAGTGGCTAGATGCTCGCCTGCAGATTGGAAGTTCGTGGGTTTGGGTCTTGGTGGAACCAGGCTTTTTCAAAAATGACTTTTGCTGCCAGGTTGACCCAGCCTTAAGTAGGAACCAGGTGCAGTTCTGGGAAGTGAAGGTGGCCGGCGTGATGCTGACCACATCAAAAACCAAGTGCTGATTGGTCTTCTTCTTCTTCTTCTTCTTTTGTTCGCTTGAAATAAGTTGTCTATATCAGCAATTTTGTCTCTTGTATAAATTTCACTGTTGTTATTAATTCATTCAGTGGTCCATAGAGTTTACGTTCCACTGTTGTTCTTTCTGGCCAAAAGGTTTGCCTTAATGTGTCAAATTCGGTGCAGTCCTGGAGTACATGCTCTGCTGTCTGGGGCACCTTTCCACAGGTGCACATGACTGAAATGCCTATCTTGAATTTTGTGTACATGTGGTTACGAAAGCGGTTGTGCCCTGTTCTGAGGCGGGCTGATTGGTCTGTAAAATATAGGTCTAGCCCTGTATGCTGAATATGCCGGAAGCTGTGGAAAAGGGCTCTTTTTATGTGACACATAACAACATCCCAATGACAAATGGGTCTGTCTTTGCTTTTACTGTATTATGAGCTGAGGTGACACATAACAACATCCCAATGACAAATGGGTCTGTCTTTGCTTTTACTGTATTATGAGCTGAGGTGGCCAACTACGTTGTCTTCTGCTTTCTCTGCAAACAATTATTTATTTATACTTTCAAATAACTATCTGCGATCAGGCCAAAGACCTGCAGCAATTGTGTCCCCCATTGCTGGTACAACAAGAGATGTTGTGGAAACAGCCTTAAATATTGGAGGCTACCCTGTACTCCTGAGTGACACAGCTGGCTTGAGGGAGACATCTGATGTAGTTGAAAAGGAGGGAGTCTCAAGAGCTCTTCAGAGGTAGAAGTATTAAAAAACTGCTTCCTTTTAATTGTTTCATTCATAGGTCAAGTTTTGAAACTACATGTTTTCCTGACTGGAAACAGTTGTATAAAGATAGGTGGAGAAAAACAGTTTTAGAAGATTCTTTGTGTTGTGGCATGGAGAGGTATCAGCACATAATATTTGCTGTTAGAGATCACAGATTGTGGAGAAACATAATCACCCTTGCCAGATGGCAAGGCACTTGATTATAATAATTATGACCTGAAATCTCCTAAGGGCCTTGAGGCATATTTGGTGTATAGTGGTATCCCTATGTTTTAATAGACTGACTGGTGCTTGATGGGACATGTGGTCTGTGTTGATTTAGTTACAACACTTCCTGGAACATTTCCAAACAGGAGGTCCCAAGGGTTTAACAAATGTGCAAATTATTAGAAGCTACTAAACCAGGGCTATTCAACTGGCAGCCTAGCAAGTGCCACATAGATCTTTGCAAATTGTATTAAAGATCTTTCTACACTTGGGTCTCTGGCTGTGACGATCCCTATTTTCCAAATTGTGGCCCCTGAGTAAACATAGTTGAATTATGAGATACGCCTGGCCAGAATGAAGGATCAAGGAAAAAAGAGGAAACACCAAGAAGGAATGAGCAGGAGGACTTCACCCGGACACAGAAAAGGATTGAGTGGTCTGACTTAGAGGGAAGAAGGATTAAGCCCACTGACGGCACAAATTCCAGAACTTTAGCCACAAAAGTGACGCAGATAAACCAGACCATAAATATAACTGGTGACTGTTAGCAGCTTTAGCTAGCAGCAGCAGGTTGAATGTGGCCAAGATTTCAATTTTTGTTTTAAAAGGAACAGGAATAGTTGAATTGCCTTGCACTAAACCTAAATCCATATTATGTCCAACTAGTAATATAGACATGAATCTAGGTTTTGTTTATGTGTTATTTGTATCATATAGCATGCATTATCATAAAAAATTTCGACTTTTGGTGTTAAGCAAATAATTTCTTGATAGGAAGCAAGGACTGTCTTGTCAGGGTAGAAAATCTTTGATCGCATCAGTCCATCTTCTCCTAGTAAGACTTTTGCTTTCACATCAGATCTTTTCATGTGTTGTGCCTGCATTGGTAGTTGCTACGGCTGCAGTCTAATGAGACAACTAAACCATTCGATCTTCCTTTTCTCAATACTTTAGTGCACAATGTTGTTTCCACAGTCTGTCTGATTGTATTATTTCTCAGTTTGTCTCAGATGATTAAGCTAGCGGCTTTCCTCAGGCATCTAATTTCGCAGGTGTTCATTTTGCTTGGGTTAGCCTTTAATAATGTCCAAGTCTGGCAGTGGTAGCAGAGTGTTGATATGAATATGCTGTTTATAATCTATTCCTTGGTGTTCTTGGCAATGGAGTCAATTGGTATATGAGTGCACTGGCGCACCGGCATCTTCTTTTTTATTTCCCGATCTGTTCCCCCAGCCTCTGATAATATACTTCCCAGAAATTTTAATTTGTTTACTTGCTTCGGACAAGTGCCATACAACTCGATATGTAGCAGACTAGGAATTCTGCTGACCTGCATTGCTTCAGATTTGGTTGCATTTACTTTCATGTTTTATGTTCTGCACATTCAACTTAGCCTGTTTAAATGGTCTTGTAGTCTAATCTATCACTGTAGAACAGACACTGATCATCTGCAAATATTAGCTCGTTTATTGTGTGTAACTCTAGGTCTTCCCCTGGAATGTAGAGTTCCTCATTTTTTTAATTTTCTGAATTGTGTTTAAAAGCTGGCTTCTTTAGATATTCTGTCTGTATGTTTATGAAATAAGAGAGGTGAGAGCACACATCCGTGCCTCACCCTTGTATCGATTGTAAACATATCAGATATGCATTCTTGTGTTCTCTCTGTGCTTTAGGAGTAATAAATAATAATATTATATACAACAAACATTATAATATGTTGTAGTTTGCATTATTTATTAAATGCTACAGTAATTTAGCAGTTACATTCTATCTTATTCCTGCAACATAGTTGTTGACTATCACTTATTCTTTAGCAATGTATTACTTAGTATTGTAAATTTACATCCAGTTACTTATATAACTGTATTTCACCCTGCACCCCCCCCCCCCCCCCCCCCACCCCCCCCCCCCCCCCCCCCCCCCCGCGAAAAAAAAAAAAAAAAAAAAAAAAAAAAAAACTGCATTGCCTGTGTATACCACTTTTGCAGTTTAGGCAGGGGGGTCTTTGAGCCCGAGGATTTAGGGCCACATGGCTAGTGCTGTCACCACAGACTGTGCAGGCTTGGATTTTATTTTTGCTGCCAACAGAAAAAAAATTCCTAACCTTACATAGGATTTGAACCTGTTCTCCTGCATAAGAGCCTAGCATTCTTAACCGTTCAGCCAACTGATCCTCGCATATATATCACAGTCTGCAAAATGCAATAGTGTTTTTTCCATTAGTCTTACCTTAGACATGAAAATAATAAGGCACAGATTTCCTTTAAAAAGTCATTACCTGTCATCCTTGGAAAGATTACTCATTCCTTGCCAGTTCCTCTGCCTCATTTATTTTCATGTCCAAGGAATCTTCCATGAACCATGCCTTCCATCAGTGTCCTTTCTAAGCCACTACAGTAATTTATTACATTGGTATGTACAGATTTCTTACATTTTATCTTCTTCTTCTTCTTAGCATTCACTGGCTGTAAACTCCAAATGAAAGTTCTGGTTGTTTATCCACTCTTGGTCTTTGGTCTTGATCCAGAACATGAGCTTTGCGTGCACATCCATTTTACAGATCTGGCTTATTTGTATGCAGACTGTTGGTTCATTGCCTCTCAGGCAGATGCACTTCGACTTTGAAGGAAACACCTCATTAGTTGCTTCCTTTGACATGCTTGTTAGGGGGCAGTGAGTTTGGTCTTTATTCTCCAGAATAGAGCTCTGGAACCCACACAGGGATCTTATATTGTTTTATATCTTTCAACCTGTGTTTGCATATACTATACATTTTTATTTACACATTATCCTATATATATATATATATACCTTCTTAATTTTCAGAGCAGAAAGTGCAGACCTAAAGATAATATTGTTTGACTGGATTTGTTGCTCCAGGGAACTTAGTAATGTTCATTCATTATTGGACTTTGCTGACTCATACATGCAGAAACTGGGGCTACTCAGAAATCTCAATGAAGGCATAGACATTGATGATTTTTCTGTGAGAATACATGGGACTCAGGCCCACACCATCTCAAATAATGACAGTGCACATTCTGTTATTCTGGAGAATTCTAGTGAAATATCACAGAGCACATTGTCGGCGGAAGAAACACAAAATGTACAGACAGTAGACTTGTCCAGTTTGTTGATAGTGGTAAATAAGTGCGACATGGCAGATCATGCAACCCTCCCTGGCAACATTTTGAACAGTGCTGGTCATGTGTGTTGTATCTCTTGTAAAACTGGCCAGGGAATGGCTGCTTTTATGGAGCTTCTTGTCAACAAGATAAAAGTTTTGTGAGTCATTTGCTAGTTTTTGTATACATTTTACAGATAACTACTCTCAGCTTTAAATTTAAAAAAAAAAAAAAAAAATAATGCTACTCTGTTGCCCTGAAATGCCAAAAAATCGACTCTTCCACTTGATTCGAGTTCCCTATAAATGTCAATTTTTCAACTTGTCTAGAATGATGTGTGTATATTTTACTGATGATATGAATATAGTAACCAAAAAAAAAAAAACCAGTATTTTCGCAGGTTTTCCTCTGTATCAAATAGCTTTCTTAAAGTCAAGCTGACATCAAATTTTCGCATAAGCCTAAAAGATAGAGGTCATAGGGTCATGACATCCGACACCCTATGCCCTGGGGAATGTGTTCCAGTTATTGTGTCACTGTGTTAATGTTTATTTATTACTCTACAAGGTGGGTGTAGAGGTTCTGGAAGATATTCAGCATTGAAGGGGAAACTGGAGCAGACTTTTAATCAGGTTGCAACTAGTACTGTTAGCATGTCAACTCTTCGTTAATTTATGAAGAAGGTGATGGAGCACATGTGGGAATGTCCCGAGCACATGTGGGAATGTCCCGAGCACATGTGGGAATGTCCCGAGCGCAGTGATGTCAATTCTTGACTCTATCAATAATTTATTTATTGATTAGTCTCTTTATACACCTTTATATATTTCAGGAAAAAATGTAGATAAATGAATGTAAAAAAAAAAAAAGTAATGCATTCATGACATATGTAAAAAAATGTAGTTTTTTTTTTTAAAGAAAATTTTCATGAGCTTTTTAACCCAGTTTTTTTTTTTTTTTTTTAGCTGTTACTCGGATGAAAAAGTGAACATTCATAAACATTTTTAACTCTCTTGTCTATTCTCCTTCTGCATTTTATCTCCAGATAGCCCATAGATCTAAACCATTTGTATGAAGTTGTTCATAGTTAGTTGGCATCTGCAGCTGAATCTTTTTATGGGATGGGAAGCTTACCCTAAAATCTAACCCTAGTTAACTCATACACCTTGCTGGGCAGGGTGTAGTGTTATTACTCTTGATACTCAACGATAACCATAAGTAAAAGACAACGGAAATTTATAGCTATATAAGCAGAAAATGTTAAATGGAGAAATCAGCCTAAGTGGAAAACATGAATTCATGAGAGGCAGAGGAAGATACAGACTGAGGTATATAGAAAGCCTATCTCAGATGACAGAGATGATTGGGGAGTCATGACAGCCATTGTATCTTCAAGACAATTACCTGAAAAAGAAGATTCTGTGCAGACATCTCAGTGTAGAGTTGTAGTTCAGCTTTACTTACATTTATAGCATGGCATAGTTTTAGTGCAGCAAATCTAGACATTGTGTGTGCATGTGGGCAGTCAGATGGGGAATGGGGGCGGAAGGGGCACTGGGGCTGGGCTGGAGAGAGAAGGATGGAGATAAGAGAAGGGGTTAGGGAAGGGACTGGAGTGAGAAAGATATAGAGATGAGAGAGAGGGAGAGAGAGAGAGAGTAGTGAAAGGAATAAAGGGATGGGTGTGTTAAGACAGGAAAGAGAAAAGGGGGGGGGGGGGGGAGGGAACGCTGGAAAGAGAAAGATGTATAGAGATTATAGAGAGAGAAGGAGATGGAGTCATAACTGGACTGTTTGTTAGAGAGCTGAGTCCCTGCTTAATTGCCAGGTGGTTAATCTGGAAACAGACTGCATCTTTACAAAGATGGAATAAAAACTTGGCTGTAGAAAATGTCTTACTTAAGTTGGGTATGTCATGCTGTAATTATAAATCTCTGTTTCAATGTAAATTAACATAATGCAACCTACTTACTTTTCAAGGTAGACAAAGAAGTGAAACAAAAATAAAAAAAAATAAAGGACCCTTTTCAGGCATTTGGTCATTTAGGGCTAGACCTATATTTTATAGATCAATTGGCACTCTTTGAGTGTTATGGTCAATGCTGGTTGCCTTTACTTCCAAGGTCTATTCCTGGTACCACTCAAGGCTGGGGTGACCTGAAAGCCGTCATTTAAAAAAAACAAGAAAGGTCAGGATTCATTAGGACCTGAACCCATTATCTACAAGGAGCAGACAAAGAAGTAGAGCCTGGAAAACCAGGAGAAAGTCTCAGACACTCCTATTAACATTGAATTTTACTAACAGTACTACATTTTCTTTCTAAATAATTCGAAAACACACAATCTCTCAGTTTCGGTGTAAACGGGTGCAATACCACTTATTTACTTTTCAGGGTAGACAAAGAAGTAAATAATAGACTAATTGGCACGCGGTGAGTGATATGTCAACATTACACCAGCTGTCTGTACTTCCTAAGACACACTTCCTGGTACCCCTCAAGGCTGGGTCGACCTTGGAGACAAGGTCATTTAAAAACACAACCCTAGGAAGTAAAGATTTCTGGAGTTATGTTGACCACATCACCCACTGAGTGTCAATTAGTCTGTCACTTACTTCTTTGTCTACCTTGAAAAGTAATTAGTCTATTAAATATAAGTCTAGCCCTGTATGCCCATATGTCCTTTACTTTTTCAGCACTGTAAAATTACAATTACAACAGATAGAAGTGATAACAAGCCTTCATCAGCAAACAACAATAAATAAAACACTAAACAGACCGAATTTCCCCTTGTAGGTTCCGGGACCCTGTTGTGGGGGGGGGGGGGAGAAAGACCCATTGTTTCTTAACAAGCATGTCATAAAAGTCAGCTAATTAGGGATGTTTTCTTGGAAGTCGGAGTCAATCTGCCTGAGAGATGAGGAACCAAAGTCTGCAAACAGATAAGCTAGATCTCTAAAACTGATTTGCACACAAAACTCAAGTTCTGGAACAGCTCTAAAGTCCAGGAGTGGACAAAAAAAAAAAAACCTTCCTCCTTGAATTTACAGCCAGTGAACACGAAGAAGAAAAAGGAAAGACAGAAATGACACTAGAATAACTAATCCAAGCATTAAACAATTAATTAAAAATGTGAAATAAATCTTGTTTGTCGAAAAAAAAAATTAAAATTTTATGTCCGCTGTTCATTGTTCGTTTTTACTTTCAGGTGTGGAGATCCTCTCTTGGGCAGTCCAAGTCTGACTCAGACACGCCACCGCCATCACCTAAACAAATGCCAGAAACATTTGACTGACTTCACTCATTATGCTCAGTATGATGTTGTTTTAGCAGCCGAACGATTACGGTTGGCCACCAGAGAACTTGGGCAGATCACAGGAGCTGTCTCTGTAGAGGATGTGCTTGATGTCATATTTAGAGATTTTTGCATTGGCAAGTAGTTGCCTTCAGGTAGTAGGCCTCCCCAAGAGACAACAGATCAGATGGCTTGGACCTGTGTCAAGACTACCATCAGATAGTGCACCACAGAGAGCCCTGTCACTTAGACATAATGGAAGCAGAACTAGAGGTTGACCACACAAACAATGGATAGATGGAATATCTGAGGCCATAAATACCAGCATCTATATAGCACATACCAAGGCATGCACTAGATGCCTCTTCAATATCTAGTGCTGAAAGGCAGAACAGGACCGGAGAAGGCGAAGAAAAAAAAGAGTGCAGTGAGCCTTAAGGGCCCGGGATTCTGAAGAAAAAGAAGACCAGAATCTGGAGTAAAGTTTTAGGCTTTCACATATTCTACCATACTTTTCTGTGTATAAGAAAGACTATATACTTTCCCAAATGTTTCCAGTTTAAAATTGGGAGTCACCTTATATACGGAGAGTTGCAATTAAATATATAAATAAATATGTGCCGCTAGCCATATTCCCCCCCACCCCCAGCTTCCCCTCACTACTGATCTCATGACAAGCCTGGTTTCCCCCCCCCCCCCCCCCCCCCCACAGTAACCCCACCCTGGACATTGTCTGTTCTACGCAACTTCCTCAGCCATCCCCTGGTTACCCAGCAACTGCCATTGCAGCTTTGGCCCGCAAGCCGCAAGTTGAAAAGCCCCGCCATAAATACTGTGACAAAAGTTCTCTTTGATGTTTAAATATATGGTACCAAATATACTAGCGTTATGAATATTTAAAAATATATCAAAGTTGTTCTGTCTGGTATAAAAAAAACATTTTTTAATTTTATTTATGGCTAAACAAAATTTGGTATGGTCTTATACATGAGGGTGTCTTATACACAGGAACAATATTGTAAGACATGGCATAATGGAGTGAGGTGGACAGTTCTCTTTCCCACCACCTTTCTTTCCCAGATAATTCTGGTTTACTCATTTCATGAGCCTGGGCTGACCCCATAATCATAATTACCTCACATTGGATGATAATGAATATTTGACGAAAACATAATTACATGGAGTGAAGCACATAAGTGTCATCTTTGAGGTCAATATAGAAGAAACTGTAACCAACTTAGATGAGGTTTCTTGGGGTGACTGCTGCATCAGAGGACTGAGCATGCATGGGGATGCCTAATGTGCCGTGACACTGATTGTGATAACATGACTTATCACACACAAAAATCCTACCACTGCTGGAAATTGGTAAGTGACAGTCAGTAAATACAGTAATACTTAGCATGTCTGCTGTCATTAGTCAAGGCTTCAGCATCGCTACAGATGGGTCGCCCATAACTTCTCGGTTTCTGTGTGCCAGCGTAAATCACAAACTGTTCTTCGCTGTTCCTTGTGAAAATTTGAAAAAAATGATAAAGCTGTCATAGTTGAGCAGTTGAACAAATAGTTGGTTTAACACCTCATGTGATGCCATTCCAGGCATAGTCCTGCGCATGAAGACAGAGTGTGCCTGTTTGTGACTATGCAAGGCTACAAGAGATTTTTCTCTGGACAACCTAGATCAAATCTGATCTTCAGTTAAAGATTGCTGTTGTTTTGTGAATATTGGTAGTTTGCCTTGTTCAGTTGAACTGCTGTATTTTTTGTGTTGGTGGTGGTGGTGGGGAGCAGTAGGTCTTTCCAGTGTCCACTGATTCTTGTTAATTATTGTATAAAGTGTGATATTAGTAACTAAAAGATATTTTTGAAGTATTTCTAAAATTAAATTTGTCAAAACCTTTATGTCTGTTTTTTAGTTTCTTTTCTACACTTTGAGGCCTTTGCATGTATCAGTGTTAAATGTGTGGCATGCAAGGCAGGAGAATTAAGATAAAGAAGAAAAGCAAATACTAAGTATACATTAAACAACATTAAATGTACCTTCTGTAAAAAATTGAAGAGGGTGGGTTCAAATAATTTAAAAAATCTTTTTGTTGTCTAGTTTTGTTTCAATTATCAATGTGCTTCTTTTCTGCTCTCTAAGTAAGTACTAAAAATCTGGTTTAATTCATAATTAAGAGCACACCATTACCAAACAGGGTTCACTGGCTCTATCACATGTGAATGTGGAGAACTTAGAGCAGATTCAAGAGCACTTCTCAAAGGTCGCCCAGATTTGGCCAGTCAGAGGGAGGAAATCTAGTCCACACCAGAGAAACTATGGATTACTGATAGAGAGTTCGGGTGCACAGTTCTGTTTGTGAATTCCGCGGCAGGGATACATAGCAACTTAATTTACTAAGGAAGTTTAAATCAAATTTAGTAATATGGTTTCCTGTTAATCTTCAAAGCGATTAGTAATCCTTTTGTATGATGCAGTAGTAAATGGCAAGTGGAATATATTTTGGCCTGCATCACTCCACACTCCTGGGTTAAATGTTTCCTTTTTCTTAGATCCATGAATTCGGTGTCCCTCTCTTAAATATCAACATGGGTTATATGTTTTGTTTACTTTGAGCTATGGGTTAAATGTCTCTCTTAACTTCGATCCCAACTTATTTAACTAAATGTAGTGATGCATCATGTTTCTGCCACTAGCATTTGTAATCACAGTAGAGACATTGTCATTTTGTTTTTACCCACAGACCTAAGGCAAGATATGAGGCTTCTGAAAATGTATGTTCGAATAATGTCTTTGCGGCTCTGTGGTTGGTTGCTTAGCAAATGAGTTGAACATTTTCATGTGGTAGTAATTTTCACAGAAATATCCTGTTCAACCCTCATGTTTATAATTGGGATATGCAATGTTCATCAAGTTATCAGAGTACATATTTGTTTTTTGTTTTATATCGTATAATTATTTAAGACAGTTATGTAATCTGTAAAAACACTGACCCTCTTAAAGGAAGCAGCTCAAAAATAAGACTAGTTATCAATCAAGATAGAACAGAATACATGATAATAACAAGACAGGGAAAAGATAACTCAGGCTACATGCTAATCAAAAATATGAAAATTAAACGAACAGAGCATATAAGTATTTGCGTGGGAATTTCAACTGCTTTAGCATACTAACAGAAAATAGAAAAAATACAAGACAAATCTGGAGTTGAAAATCTACACAAAGTATTTCACCATTCTCGCTGGTGCTACAGAGTTTTTGCACTGCGCTGAAATTCTTCAGACTCGGACTTGAGTTAGAAGTACAATGGAGCACTTATGGGTTACTACCCTTGTGCCATGATGTTGATCCGTTGTTTAAACCTAAACCTAAAATTACAATCTAGAATACAATCGCAAGTATACTATGCCCTTCAACACCTGCTTAAGTCGAATTCTCTGTCTTGCACCACCAAGATCAACATATTTAAAATGTTGATAAGACCAGTCGTTTTATATGGCTTGAAACTTGGTGCCCAAAAAAAAAAAAAGATGAAGCTTTGTTAGAATTTTTTTTTTTAACTTTTACAACGAATCAAAGATGCAAAAGCAGGGAATGGAGAATAAGATTTGATTTGATTTGATTCAAGAACCGATATCACAGCACTCGGGGCATTCACATAAGCGCTCTGTCCCTATCTTCAGCAGCCAGCGAAGAGTTCCGATACTAATGGTGCCAGCAGCATTCTGATTAAACGTCCGTCTTGCCTTTCCTCTGAGCCTTGAGCATCTGCCAGAACCTCTCGTCACTCCCCGCTGCATCAATTTCACCAGATTGTGGTGATCCATCTGCTCCCCCGAACTGTACACGATCTCCCACAAGGCACTAACAACGTCTGCCTTATCATGTATCAGTATTCCACCAAGTTGTGCAGAGCCAGCCAGTCTGTCCACCTCTTCATTTCCCAACACACCAGGGTACCTGGTGAAAAAATACAGACAATACTCCTCACCCGTGTCCTCCGCAGCGAAGCATGCCACTCTGCACGAAGCATACCTGTTCTGATCTTCCTCAGCATGCTATCTGAATCAGTTACAATCACGATGTGTGTGTGTCATGTTCTCTAGCCAGCGGAAAGCCTCAGTGACCGCCTCCACCTCAATTCTTAAGCTGGATGTTGTGGTATCATATGCTAGGCTCTCCTGCACCAAACATCGACCATTAACTTTTGCTAAGAAGCCCCAAGCACTTCTTTTGCCTCTTGACACTGAACTGTCTGTGTAAATGATCTGAGCGAGCATTTCTTAAATTAATTGCTGAATTTTCACCTCTATGGCACCTGCTGGCCAGTCTCTGCATTCTTGGCTCAGCAGGATTATGACTGTACAGAAGTCTGTGGCACTTTGACCCACTCTTCTCCTCGCCTAATGTTCTCAAATATACAAACCTGTCTGATTGTATCTTCTGCCTGAGTCATCCATGACCTCCCTCTTATCAGCTGCTGACCCTTAACTGCACCCAGAGCTTCATGAAAAGGGTGGTCTGTGTCTGCAGCTACCCTGAGTTATGACTTCGCCTGCAACACCTTGTGCCTACCTGCAACCGTCGGCAAACCAAGGATGTATCGCATACACACCACTGGGGTATCTCTGGAGAATAAGAAGCAACAACAACATTCATAATCTGTTCAAATCGCCACTCATCATGAGGCATCATGAGGGCTAATAGACTGAAATGGCTGGGGTAATTGAAAGAATATCTAACGACCAAGAAGATAATGGAGCAGAGTGGCAAGCTTCACTTGCAAGGTCACGGGTAGTGAGCATACTTTGGATCTTTTCTCTAGGCCATGCGAGTGTGGTAGGCAATGAACAGGCACACATATTTGCTGGATCTGTACCACTGGGTGGTGAACTGATACATGACAAGGCAGATGTGGTCAATGCCCTTTGGGAACAAGCAACTGAATCAGTAGAGAAAGAAGATTATTATGGCCTGGATAGAATAAGGCACTTGGGTGTAACCAGAGGGTCTTGCCGACTCACTACACTCAGAGTAAAGGCAAGACGGACATTTACCCAGATTGTGACCAGTACCATCAGTATTGGAACTCTGCGCTGGCTGCTGAAGATGACGACGGAGCATGGCTGGGAATGCCCTAAGTG